TAAGCCTTCCCTTGACAGAATCAGGTGTGTGAGGTTAGACCTCACAGACAAATGCGAGACATACTCATGGATTTGGGGACCAGGCAAGAGCAATGATGAAAAAGGTTTCAATGTTCATGATGTAAGACCAAGCAACAGAGGAACTCAAGCTCCTGGTGTTCAAGTAGGAACATTTTTTGCCCAAGATGGTGGCACTACTAGCACTATCCCAATTGCTTGTTTGAAAAACACCAACATGAACTTCTCCTCCATGCCTAATCTACCCCAAATTCTAGCATTGGTCCTAGCTTACTCTCCAATCATGTACTTGCATCCTGATGAAAAGTACCAATCTGCTTCTACTAAGTGGTTTTTCACCAATGGGGCATTGCTTTTTGAGAAAGGGGAAGAGTCCAAACCAGTGCCAATAGACCCAACAGGTTCTAACCTTCCTCAAGGTGGCACCAATGATGGTGCCTATTGGTTGGACCTGCCTACTGATAAAGCCAACAAAGAAAGGGTCCAAAAAGGAGATTTCAAGATTTCCCAAGTTTACATTAATGTAAAACCCATGTTTGGTGGAACATTCACTGATCTTGCCATGTGGGTTTTCTACCCTTTCAATGGGCCTGCAACAGCAAAAGTAGGACTAATAAATGTTCCACTTGGGAAAATAGGAGAACATGTTGGGGACTGGGAGCATGTGACATTAAGGGCAAGCAATTTCAATGGAGAGTTAAGAAAAGTATATTTCTCACAACACAATAAAGGTCAATGGGTGGATTCTTCTGAACTTGAGTTCCAAATTGGTAACAAACCAGTGGCTTATTCTTCCTTAAATGGCCATGCTTTTTACCCAAAAGCTGGACTTGTTATGCAAGGTCTTAGTGATATTGGATTAAGGAATGACACTGCTAAGAGTAATATGGTGATAGATATGGGGTTGAGATTTGAAATTGTTTCTGGGGAATATTTGGGGTCAGCAATTACAGAACCACCATGGTTGAATTATTGCAGGGAATGGGGTCCAAAAATTGACTATAACATTAAAGAGGAGTTTCACACAGTGGAGAAGGTGTTCCCTGCTTTGAAAGTGCTTGAAGATAAATTACCAAATGAGTTATTGGGAGAGGAAGGACCCATAGGGCCTAAGATCAAGAAAAATTGGAGTAGTGATGAATTTTGAAATTTTTTTGGTGGCATTACTCAGACCAAGCAATTAAAATGAAGACTTTGATGTACCAAAAAAAATAAAAATAAAACTAAAAACAATGAAAACTTTTTTTTTTTTTTTTTTGTACAAAAAAAAATATTTATAATGAAGACTTTGCCTTGTTTGTTGCGTGTATTTATAATGTTTGTCGTGAATATATCTGTTCCGGATGGCTTAACCACATCCGAAGCCCAAAGGCTTTGTAACATAGATGACCCAATTTCGCAGAGCCCCAAACAGCCTAAGCCCAAAACCCCAAGTTATATATACGTCAGCCCTACCGGTTGGCCCTAGACGCATGCGCCAAGGCAGCTCGCCTCCCAAGGTAAGACACCAAAATGTCTTACCTTGGAACCCCATATGCTCTGCGGGTCGCCCAGAGACCATAAGTGAAAACCGCCCTGCTGCCGCATGCTGACACTGCCCGAGAGTAGACCCTGCATCGCAGCAGCGCCTGGCGTGTCAGCCCCTCATAATGAAACCCAAGGAGCGTTGACCTCCAATACGTAAGCCCTAACGGATCAGACTCCTGGACTCCTATAAATACCACCCTTGGGCACAAGGGAAAGATCTATCTTTTATGTACTGTTATTATGCCCATTTACTTCCAAGTTATACTCTTACTATTAGTCTGCCATTAATATCAGCTTGCTACCTCTTGGAATACTACCTTCTAGCCTGGTCTTTACCTCAGCTAGGGGTATAATCCATATAACAACATTACCCTCAAGGGTACATAGTGGGCTCACCGTATCTAACGGTACATTGGCGCCGTCTGTGAGAATCTATAAACTTCTATTCCCATTCTCCTACCACTAAATACGCAAGACACTTACCATTTTCAGACCAACATGGTGGTCACAACAAGACGAGCAGAACAAGTACGGGCAGTCACTCCAGAAGGACACGTGCAAACTGTGCACTCCAACTCCCCCTTCTATGCACTCAATCCCAGCTGGGCGAGAAGCTGCGGAAGCCCTGCCTCCGGTGCTATAACCTGCAGATCCCCAGGTGCCAGCGGAAGGTCTCAGAGCAGCATTCCTGAATCATCAAGTTCCAATGCAAGAAATGCAAGGAGAAAACTGGTTTGATAACCAACCCCCACCCCCCGGTGTCCAATTTGGAATGCCTTTCCCTACCACCCATCGTGTCCAACCGGCGCAAAGCCAACCCGTAGCACTATATAATAACCATCGAGTCCCAACGTACCATCCCAGACCTTGTATGAATAATGTGGCCGCTCCTTTCCCCCCACCTTTTCCAAATGGTTACCCGTTTCAAGGATACCCCTACCACCCTCATAACGCGGCCATCCCCCAACCACAGGGATCGGTCGTTGACCTTGGCCAACCCCGTTTTGGAGCCCGCCAAGCCCCAGCTATCTCATACTCAGTCGAGGCACCTCATGAGCCTCGCCCTCCACCAGATTTACAAGCCCGTAACCCATACTTACAGACAACCCCTCCAAACACCTCAGGGCGTAACAAACCCCTGACTGATAGCCTACGCCTCACTCCTATTCCCCCTGGCTATAAGGGACCATCCAATATCGTCACGTACGTAGGTGACGCTGATCCGTTCGAATGGATACAAAAGTTTGAGGCGACAATGACCCTACATGGTGAAACAGACCTCCTGATGTGCAGAACCTTCCCAACGCTCTTGGGCGGGAGAGCGTTAACTTGGTATACCACCTTACCAACGGGTAGTGTAGCATCCTGGGATGACCTGGCAAGAAAGTTCCAGACCCACTTTGCCATTAGTCGCCCTGTGCCAAAGTCTGTCCACGCATTGGAAAAAGTACGCCAACAATCCGGGGAAACTCTTAGGTCATTTCTGGATCGTTTTGACAAAGAAGCCCTGCAGGTACAAGGGCTAGACCCAAAGGTGTAGTTGCACATACTTTTATCAGGATTGCGCGAAGGAGCATTCGCCTACGAGCTTGCTCGTCACGAGATTTTGGATCTTGAAGAAGTCAAGCGTAAAGCTCAAGAGTTTATGCGAATCGAAGTGTACAAAGGAAGTCGAGCAAGCGACAGTCACTTCCAAGAAAACAGAGAGACTAAAAATAGTGACCATGCTGAGGAACGTAGAAAGAGTCGCAAACCCGCCAAGTATGCCAGTCGCCAGCAAGGGCAAGATATGGCTGGACGTCATACACATAGCGTCCTTCAGACCGAGTACAAGGAGGAACGCAAAGACAACCCAAGACGTCAGCAGCGATCGCAGGGGGATGTTGTATACTGCAAATTCCACCGCAGTAACGGCCACAGTACCGAGGAGTGCACACATCTGAAGGATGAAATTGATGAGATCATTAACAGTAGAGGTCAAAGAAACATGGGAAGCAACGCCCGAATCCCAGGAAACAACAGGCGATATCGAGAGCGTAGTTGGTCACCAGATCGAAGAAGGAGCACCCAGCCCAGGTATCAAACTCGTCGCGGGCGGGATCGCAGGGAAAGGTCCCCCCCAATCCATAAGGCGCATGATAACCAGAGCAGTAGAGAAGGCGTGACGGAGGAGACGAAGATTCAGCAGCCATAAAGCATGGAGTGATAAATATGATCTCTGGAGGGTTGGGTGGCGGAGGAGTAACAGTTAATTCCCGAAAGAGACACTTGAAGCAGTGCCTAGCAGTGGCAGGAAAAACCATCAGCAAAACGAGCACAGATGCAGGTCAGGCCAAACCCAAAATCGTCTGGGACTTCAACGATTTGGGCGATATCCTACCTGGCCATGACGACCCCTTGGTCATCCAAGCAATCATTGCCAACTGGAGCGTCAACCGCGTATTTGTAGATTATGGCAGTTCTGCTGACATTTTGTTTTTGCCTTGTCTTAAGGCTTTGGGTTTTACTGTTAATGACTTAACACCAGTGGCAGGTGAACTTGCAGGGTTTAACGGCACAACCACCAAACCTTTGGGGTTGATAAACTTACGATTATCTCTGGGAACGCCACCTACCTCAAAGTCAGCCGACATTCAATTCCTGGTGCTGGACACCCAATCAGCTTACAACGTAATTCTCGGCAGGCGAATGTTCGCCGCTTTCGAAGCAAGTGTGTCACACCCACACTTGGCAATAAAGTTTGTGGCAAGAGACAACAAGGTGGCGACGGTAAGAGGCGATCAAACGGTAGCAAGGAGCTGCTACAACATATCCATGAAACCAGCACCAAAAGTCACTTTCAAAGCCCAGCCAACACCCCATATGGCGACAACCCAGGTAACAACTGATGCCCTCACTGGAAAGGGTAAAGAACTTGACCAGTGTCTTCTTGTAGAATTTGATGCACGGGACGACCCTCGGATGGAGCACTCCAGGCCCACACCAGACGGAGCTCTAGAGCATGTAGTGCTGGGCGAGAAGGACCAAACCACAACCGTTGGGGCGTTCACCAACCCGGAGTTGAAAAGCAAGTTGATCAAACTCCTACAAGACAACAAGGATCTGTTCGCGTGGAAGCCATCTGACATGCCTGGCATAGACCCGGAAGTATGTTGCCACAGATTGTCAGTAGACCCCAAAGCAAAGCCCGTTTCGCAGAAGAAGAGGAAGTTTGGCCCAGATCGCCAAAGGATCATTGACGAAGAGGTAAAGAGACTCTGGGATGCCGGTTTCATCCGAGAAATTAAATACACTACATGGCTCTCAAACCTCGTACTAGTCAAAAAACCTAGTGGGGCGTGGAGAATGTGCATTGATTATACCGACCCAACAAGATGTGCCCTAAGGACGCCTATCTCTTCCCAAGCATTGACCAGCTTGTAGATAACTCGTCAGGATTCAAGGTGCTTTCATTCATGGATGCATACTCAGGCTATAATCAGATCCCATTGCTAAAAGAAGACCAGGACAAAACGGCGTTCGTCACACAGACTGCTAATTACTGTTACACCATGATGCCGTTCGGATTGAAAAACGCGGGTGCCACTTACCAACGAATGATGAATGAGGTCTTCAAAGACTTGATTGGTGACAGCATTGAAGTCTATATAGACGATATGATCTCTAAGTCACAAACTCCAGAACAACACTTGACACATCTCCAAGGCGTGTTCAATAGGTTGAGAAAATACAACATGCGGCTCAATCCAAGCAAATGCGCCTTCGGAGTTCCAGCAGGGAAGTTCCTAGGCTTTATGCTGACTGAAAGAGGTATTGAAGTTAATCCTGACAAATGCAAGGCGGTCATTGACATGAGAAGTCCCCAGACGGTTAAAGAAGTGCAGCAGTTGACCGGGAGGATAGTCGCACTCACTCGTTTCTTAGCAAATTCTGCCTACAAGTCCCTTCCATTGTTTAGCCTGCTCAAGAAGGGCTGCTCTTTTCAATGGACTGATGATTGTGAGAAAGCTTTCCAAGAATTCAAAAGAGCGCTGTTGTAATACCCGATATTTTTATTAATAAAATAATAATAATAATAAACTATAAATTAGTAGTAATAATAATATAGATATATATAAATAAATATTATGGTGATAGATAACAAAGTAGAATATTAATTTTATATTTGATAACATTATTTTGTGCGATATGAATGCTATTGGAAAATAATTTTGATACTTTGTAATACTCTAAATTATTTATAATAACATAATATTAATATGTACACAGATATATATATATATATATATATATATATATATATATATATATTAGATGATAAATTGTAATTAATTGGATTATTAATTGATTGATGATTTAAGCATTAATGTTTGATTGATAATGATTGATTGATAATGTTTGATTGGTAATGATTGATTGATAATGTTTAATTGGTAATGATTGATTGATAATGTTGATTGGTAATTTGATTAGATATGACGAGTCAATAATGAGTCAGCATTGAGTCAGTAATGCACGAAACTCATATCTGAGCCCAAAACTTCAACTATAAATAGAAGTCTAGCCTAACCAAACCAATTCACTCTTCAACATTTCTCCTCTACTACTCTCTCTCCTTACTTCAAAAGTTTATTTGTTTTATTTTCTATATTCTTTTGGTTACCAACCGGTTCTCTGCCCCAATTTATTCTCTTCTAGAAGTTAGCAAAAACGGAGACTAGGTAATCCTAATCCTTAGGTATTTTTAGATTATATTTATTTTATGTGAAATTTGGTATGTGTAATCCTAATCCTTAGGTATTTTTAGATTATATTTATTTTATGTGAAATTTGGTATGTGTAATCCTAATCCCTAGGTATTTTTAGATTATATTTATTTTATGTGAAATTTGATATGTGTAATCCTAATCCTTAGAAGTCTTAGGTTAATTTTATATGAATTTTGATAGGATAATTATGATCCTAAACATATATCATAGTTACACTTCGTTGCAAATTTCTTTTGATTTCTGTGCAATTCTTTAATTGAATTCGAATTATACTTATCGTTGCTTTTATACATGATATAGTTCACAAAACAAAAACAAACAAACAAATCTCCTTTCTCGATTTTTGTGCGTCACTTTCAATTGAATTAGATGTATGTTCACCATCTACCATCTGAATCGTTTCTTTCAAGTTACATATATTGCAATTCTGCTTTTCGATTTACGTGATGAACATATTTCAAATACATTAGTTATATGAATTTAGTTTCAATTGTTTTTTTTATATTCTGTGCTTTACTTTATAAATTGAGGCACTAATATATATATATATATATATGTTTTGGTAAATTGGAAATTAATTGTTTGCTGCAGAAAATAGATATTACATATATTTAAAATAAATTGGGAAATTTTGTTATGTCTGTATAAAATAATAATAATAATAATAATAGTGGGAGGATAGCTTTGGGATGGTACCTCCCAAAGTGATGAACACAATTTTTGGGCTTTATGCCTCCGATGTGAAACTGATGTGAAAAAGATTATATCCGTTCTTCCCAAAGTGGTGTCTGTCAGGGTTTCCCGGGATACTAGTAGCAACTTTGGGAAGAGGTGTGCACACTAGGAAGATGTGAATTGATTATGGCCAATTTTGATTATACGTGGCTGGTAACAGTGGTTTTTTCCCGGGTCACGGGGTAGACTGGCAGGGTTTCCCGGGTCTACCATGGTTCTCTTCCCACTAAGTACAATGAACTTAAACATGATTAATAATGAAACATCATTTGATTTGATTATGATGAATGTCATTGAATTGTGAATATTACCATTTATGTAATATTATGATTAATGTTGTGCTAAATATGTTAGTTGACAATTACCCTTATACACTAAATGGACTAAATAATCTTAAACATGATTAATAATGATATTAATACTTGATTTGAGTTATGATTAAATGACTTATTTGAAATATTGCTTGAGTTATGAATAAATGACATATTCGAAATATTAATTGAGTTGATTATGTTGATTATTCTTAAATAAATGTCTTGATTGATATTGGGTTATATTATCCTCATTTTGTATCTTGATTGGGATTACCAGCTTTGCTGACTTTTGTATTTGTTTGACTGCAATGATCCTGCGGCTGCGGGGGAGCAGATTTTCAGTGAAGCATGTTGCAAATGATGGGGCTAGCTGTGGGCAGTGAGGATCACGACTCGGATATTTCTAGCTGTCATAAATATTATGTATAAAAAAAAAAAAACTGTAGTCTTAGATTTTTATTTGAATGTAATAGAGTTAGCCTTGCACTTGTCCCTGTACAAGTGCGGCGGTAACACTTCCCAAATTTGATTATTTTGAACTTCCGCTGTTATCTATAAAATCATTGAATTTATTTATGCTATTATAAATTGTTAGAATTTGGGGTGTTACAGCTGTCATGCCCGCCTGTCTTAACAAAGCCAGATATTGGAGAGATCCTTTATTTATATCTCTCCGTGGGTGTAGAAGCCATCAGTGCCGCCTTGGTCAGAGAACCAAACGGAGAAGCACAGAAACCAGTGTATTTCATCAGCAAAGTCCTGCAGGGCGCAGAGCTTAGGTATCAGCAGGTTGAAAAGGTTATTCTCACACTCATCTTTGCTGCGAGAAGACTTAGGCCATACTTCCAATGTCACCCAATCACAGTTAGAACTAATCAACCCATCCGCCAAGTATTACAAAAGCCTGATCTGGCGGGACGAATGATGTCTTGGGCGATTGAACTGTCAGAATACCAGATCAATTATGAACCAAGAACAGCCATCAAAGCACAAGCCCTCGCAGATTTCATTGCTGAGATGACCCATACCACTGCAAGCGGCAATCAGTTGGGGGAAACCCTGGCGACATGGAAGCTGTTCGTGGATGGATCAACCAACGCCAAAGGGTCAGGAGCCGGGTTGATCGTGGAAAATCCTGATGGTGTGACGATGGAGCATTCTTTAACCTTCGACTTCAATACGACTAATAATCAAGCAGAATATGAGGCTTTGATAGCCGGTTTACTTCAAGCCAGAGAACTGGGAGCCCAACATCTCAAGGTTTTTAGTGACTCACAGCTGGTGACCTGTCAAATTTCTGGCGAATATCAAGCAAAAGGTTCCCTGATGTGCAAATACTTAGAAATAGCCAAAGATATAATGGAGACATTCATGACAGTCAAGGTGGAGCACATTAGGCGGGGAGAGAACACCCGGGCCGACATACTCGCCAAACTGGCCAGTACCAAGAGTCCAGGTAATAACCGTTCGGTCATCCAGCATAACCTACAAACGCCATGCGTTGTAATGAGTATTACGGGAGAAACAGATGAAATCGCAGCTGACACCTGGATCACTCCAATCGCTAACTACCTTTCAGAAGGTACCCTCCCGCCAGACGTGAAAGAAGCAAAGAAGATCGTCAGAAGGAGTGCTCACTTCTGCCTGATGAATGGCTGGTTATATAAAAGGTTTCTCAACCCCACTGTTGAAATGTTTGAACCCAGGAGACATGGGGTATGGGTTGGAGGAAATCCACGAAGGAATTAACGGCCACCACATAGGTGGACATTCTCTAGCAAGGAAAGCGCTGAGAGCTGGATTCTGCTGGCCGACCATGGAGCGAGACGCTTATAACCATGTCAAGAAGTGCGATAAGTGCCAACGTTTCGCGGACGTACATAGAGCCCCACCAGAGGAGTTGACCTTGATAACGTCGCCTTGGCCCTTTCACAAATGGGGAATGGACATTCTTGGACCTTTCCCAAAAGCCACGGGGCGTATACAGTGGCTAATCGTTGCCATTGACTACTTCACCAAGTGGGTAGAAGCCGAGGCAGTCGCCACCATCACTTCTCAGAAGGTCAGGAAGTTTTTTTGGAGAAACGTTGTCTATCGTTTTGGCATCCCGGGAGAGGTTATTACAGATAATGGAACCCAGTTTACCGATTCTAAGTTCAGAGAATTGATGACGAACCTTCAAATTTGGCACCACTTTGCAGCCGTAGAACATCCTCAATCTAATGGGTTAGTTGAATCAGCTAACAAGATGCTATCCAAAGGAATAAAAAAGAAGTTAACCTCCCATAAAGGAGCCTGGCTTGAAAACCTCCATGGCGTGTTGTGGGGATATCGGACAACCGCCCAATCCAGTACGGGAGAGACCCCTTTCCGTCTGATTTATGGTGCAGAGGCTATGATACCAGTCGAGATCGGTGAACCTTCTTGGAGAAAGGAGCAAGTAACAGAGGTAACCAACCGTCAAGGTCTCAAAGAAACACTTGACTTAATTGAAGAAATCCGAGAACGGGCAGCGCAATCTGATCGGCAGTCGAAAGAAAGGTCAGCCAGCCGATACAATAGCAGGGTCATCCTCAGGAAGTTTCAAACTTTTGACCTCGTTCTCAGGCGAGCCGACGTAGGAAACAAGAACGCTCAAGACGGAAAGCTCGCTCCGAATTGGGAAGGACCATATCGAATAGCAAAGGTTTTGGGCGGTGGGTCATACACCTTAGAAACGTTAGGCGGGAAAGCCATTCCAAGGGCCTGGAATGCAGACAAACTCACTAAATATTATAGCTGAGTCACAATGTAACAGTCACACTGCACTCTTTTCCTCTCCAAAGTTTTAGCCTATTAGGTTTTTTGGCGATGAGAGGTTTTTAATGAGGCAGGTAGCCTGTGTTTAATAAAATGACAGTTTGTCACCCCCCAATTCGTTTGTCACTCCACTTGTTTGTTTGAAGTTTTAAAACATAAAAATCGCGGGACGGTCCTCACCCCCACCCAAGAGTTGGACTGGGACGGTCCTCCCCCCAGCCAACATACAAATCGCGGGACGGTCCTCACCCCCGCCCAAGAGTTGGACTGGGATGGTCCTCACCCCCAGCCAACATACAAATCGCGGGACGGT